GATTGTGATTGGTTGGGAGGAAGCAGTGACTAGCATAAACCTACATGCTAGGCTACAATGAGAAGGAAGGAAAACTGCGTTTCTTTATCAAACTTTTATCGACTCTCTTTTTTTCCATTGCGCCACACGTCTATCGATCGATATATATCATTATTGAATTATCGCCCAGCCCTAATTACAGCCCTTCCCCTACATGAAATTAGCCTCGATACGCGCTTCTTGAAAAATGCCCCTTCAACTGCTCGACAGCCTCGGCTCATCGCTTATCACTAATTAATCTAAAGGCAATTTTTCTCTTATCTTCAATCTTTCAACATGGAAAAACAGGCAGATAGGCAAAAAGAGAGTTTATTGTATGAATGATTATTAATATTTTTGGCACTTAAGCTGCGTTCACACCGGGCGTGGTTTCTGCATCAAACTGTCTGATTTACATGCAAAGTCTATGGGGGGGTGGCGTCAAGAGGTTCAGCAGCGCATCCAAGCGTCGTACCCTCTGAGCGTTTGACACTGGAGTTCAAAAATGTTTACTGTTGTCACCGGACAGTTGTTCTTGTTGAGTGGAGTTTGTTTCCATGGTATCCGTCAGACAATCAGATAAGCTTATTCTAAAGTTTTTGGGGGGAGACAGACACTACCTGCAAGCTGTCATCGCTTCTGCAGACATTCTGCATATAAAAAATGAAAAAATATCAAGGGGTTAAACTCTAAAGGTTTGAAAAAAAAACCTGTGATAATGGATTGACTGAAGGAACAGAGAGCGATATGTGATCATTACTGCTGCATTAAAGCATTTGTTTATTAACTATGGCGAAAGAGTTTATAAATACCCAAATTAACTAGAAATGTTAAAACCTGCCACCAAAAAATATTGGATCGCATATCCTGGTTCTTGCAGTTTTTACCACAAAGCTTAAAAACTCTTTCTATTCACTTCCAGCCGCTACGAACGGCAGCAGGAAATCCCCCAAAGGCTGGCCGCAGCAGAGAGCTTTCAGCAGGGATTTCCAGCGCCGCCTCCCGGCGGTTTGCTGGACGTCTGGAGCTCCCAACAAGAACTGCAGATTTTAGTGGGATTATAATCCTTATGAACTGATGAACAGAGGATGTTTGGAGGTGGACTTTCTCACTTTAAAACCTGTTAAAACTATTTTTACAACTCATGAAGTAAATGAAGCCAAGTAACTCTCGAGCTTAAATCTAACGTACAGAGCAGT